TACAATCTAAATTGGAGGAATATTAATGGGGGAAGCAAGGGAACCGCTAGAATACTGAACAGATTGAAGAGATTATATGTGCCCAAGTAGCATAACCGCCGCTGTCAAGTAGTTTTGCTACGAGAGGAGAGATTATTATTTCTATTGAGCTAACGAGAAAGAATAGTATAGTGAATTGAACAAGTAAGCGAGGTGAAGCCCTCGTAACGTGAAGCTCTCCTTGATGTACTCAGTTGTACACCATCCACTACGGGTCAATTTAGTGTGGAAGTGGAAAGACCACGTAGGAATGAGGGGTTTGTTCGAAACTTCTTCCGAGGAGGGAGCATAAGGATTACGATTCCCTACTCCAAGCCGGGTGAGTAACATACACTTAACGTGAATAAGAAGGTACAACAACCAAATAAATTTGCAATGATTATAAAAACTCTCACCGAAGCGGCTCCTTAGTGACTCGACCTTCCGGAAACATGTGAACCCAACCGTTCTCATTTAATTTCTCCACGCAGAAATCCATGCCTTTTTGATAAACTCCTTCACCACGTACGCAAGGAACACATTGACCAAGAGAAAAAAACCTAGAATTGAGCACGGCCGTATGTTTAGCCAACGGGGAGATTCAGAGTTTTTTTATAAGCGAGCACAGAGTATACGACAAAGTAAGAACTGCGAAACTTTACCTGGTGTGCAGAGGCTTCGTGAAGCAGATATTATGTGCCGCCAACGTATAGCGGTGACGATCAATATTTCTGTACATTTCTCGTGTTGATATGAAGCCTTAACTCTAGTTTCAGAGAAACAGTATGACTCAGTAAAATAGCGAGTGAAGAACAGAAAACTTTAACACTAATAGAGTTACCAACTTACTCCACATCAGTGGATCGTCAAGATTACTTCTGTGATTTGAAATAGTAATTAAAGGCCTTGACCTGTCCACCCACACATTCATAAATCGCTCTTTGTTGTGCACCACAAGTTCATTGGCGGCTGAAAACGAAAACAATACTCAGTTTTAAAGTGATCCCTCGAAGTATAAAGTTACCTCTGATGAACAGGAATTTTGCTACAGTTGCCACCGTTCCTATCGTCAGATACGAGGCAATATTGTAATACGGTGACGGCTTCTTGGGGAAAGGCCATGGAAATCTGAACCCTTCCAAAGCGACGGTCTTATTCGCCAGCGTTCCAGTCTTCCTCCTTTGCTGCCACTGATTTAAGTGCACCACTCCTGCCCAAAACAATCAGTTCCACTGACGGAAAGTATAACATTCGGACCTGCTCATATTTATGAACCAACTTTTGCGAGTAGAGAGCTTCCATATCTACGCGATGAGCCAGAACTCGATGAAAGCTCCGTGTTGGAGAAGACTCTGAAAAGTGCAACTTCAAAAATACTTCTGACCCTATAGGGATTTTGACATCCAACCAATAACCTGCACAACGGTACAAAAAGAAAGCCTCATTCGTGCACCTGAGGAATGGAACATTCGTGCCTCCGGAGATGCGCGCGGCGAAATTCGGGGCGATTTGAACGATTTTAGCGCCTATCATTGGGGCCTAAATTTGAATAGAGTACATTACTAGGAGCACATGATGCTATTAGTCTTCTTCACCTTGAATCTGTGGTCAAAAGGTAAGCGCCAGAGTCGTGAAATTCGCCATGATTTTTGCCGCCGCATCCCCGGACGCACGAAGTAGCCGTACCCCAGGTACCCACCTCCTACTTGCTCGAAGGAGTGCTTGTGATTGCTTGTGGTGCAATACCAACCCCTTATTACTCCACCACTCGAACCTTACACTCCCCTTCCCCCTTTTCGACGCGTCATATAGGTACAGGGTGAGAATTTAGGAACTTATTACTTATTTAGTGGATGCAGTGCAAGGAATGCGTCCATTGCACTTTAGTTCACCGTGAAATTACCGTAAGTGCTCCCACTGTATTTTCGTTCGTGTTATAATCAATGGTATCGTACCCTTGAAGAACTGGCAGTAAACAACCATCATATCTCGTTTAGACTTCAAGGACTGATAACTATCCAAACACTCGAAGATAAAGAATTCAATTAAAAGACCGTCACAGAGTCGGTAGGACGGTCAACTAATTAATTCCGTGAAATCCAGACCTATTTATCTGAACATATGTGTTAGTGATAACTCGCCTGGAAAAACTCCTCACGACTTGTCCAGTGGCGCAGTTCCACAACAACTGCCTACTCATAGTGGCTCAGCTTCTTTTTCAAAGAGAGTACCTCTGTATATTCTCGATCATCTGGGAAAATGAGCAACAATTCATCGGAGCATTAAAATGTCAAGGAAAAAGCTTGCCAACAAAACAAATTTCAAGCGGTTGTGCAGCGGAAGTCGTCATTAGAGCGTATAATCCAATGTTTCGTGGAATTGTTGAAGAGACAAGGTGGAGATTTGTGTGCGGGTGACCTAGGAAGAGGTCGTATCATGAAGGAAATGTTGTGAAGAGTGACTCTTAACTCTTTCGAGTCCAGTCTTAACCCTTTTTTTCAACCTGAATCATCCCATGGAATCCGCACTAAATCATTTTTTCGTCAGTCTTTCTGCAACATCCGTCTGACACTTGCCGTGAATTACGCCACACTGTATGCCAATCACGGCCGCTCCACTTCGGTCACGTAATTTTTGAAGTGTAAGCCATATTTCTATATATTTGTATCTCTTTTTCAATTACATTGCGAGTGATACTACCTCTTAATATGCAGCCATTCGTCCGCATTGTTTAATTTTATTTTTCATCTCAACTTACAGCATCGTAATAAGAAACGCTTTGGTGTTAGTGGCAGGTGCGCTAGCGCTAGCGTTATTAGTTAGATATCGTGCAGCGTAATTTCATGATTAAGCAAGAACAATCGTTTATAAGTCACTGCTGACCCCCTGTCTCGCGCTCGAACCTGCACCTTGGGAAACTGGCGGAAGAGCGGCTTAGTTTGTGCCACGGCTCTCTAGTTTTTGTGTATTGTTCGTTCTTCCGTTGCTCATTCTTCGGCGAAAACCAGGCTCCCATTTTCCGTCCCCCCCATCTTGGCAATTACACGATCCCAGTCATCCGAACTTATCAGCAGAATCATATGTAGACACTACGAACAATAGAAAACAATTGGATTTTTTTGAACCCCTAGGGTGTGGTTTGCCATTACCACTTCCTCCATAGAAAGGAAGTCAATCAGGAGAAAGGTGGCAAAACTCATTGTTTTGTAGCAGCTTGTTTTTATGATAGTATAGGAGGGGAATCAGATTTTGCTTAGAAAACTTATAGCCAGGGAAGAATCCCAAATCGAAGTGAACGAGACCTAGATGCTAGACGAGCTTTCGGGTGGTGATCTTAAATCTGTTTTGCAAATCTATCGAACGATTCTATAAATGGAGTTGTGAGGGTGATATTATGGTGAGCTTAACGCAGGGGAACACGAATTAGATGAATGTGCGATATTCATCAGCGGTGGCTTGCATGAATGGTAAGCGTGACGCTCTATGTGCGAGAGACTATGGTCCAGGATCTGTGGAGGGCGAAATTTCTGCATCATGGAGGACCGGGTGTGTGTACATTCGTGCGATTCGAACTGCGCGCGGCAAATTGTCGGCAAACGGCAAGGATTACTTGAGCTGGGATGCGCTTCGTTTCGCGCGTTCGTCGAAACTAGGTCACGCCGCAACCGCCGCACGCGGCACGTCAGCCTGCGATTTTTGAAAGGTGTCGCAGTTGTCATTGGCTACTTTCAGAGTTCGACGACCGT